TATACCATCAAGAAAACATGTCCAGGTCCTTTTATGTCTGAGAAATGCATATACACATTATTGTAAACTGTCTCTGGTCGTAGTCCTTTGGTGGAGAGATTGTATGTACTCCAGAGAAAGACAAGGACATGGTGCAAGACCTGCTGGACTTCAAGGACAAGATGGACAACGTGGCCCAGAGCTGTTTTGCACGGAGCGAGGGATTCATCAACGCCATGAAGGAGGCCTTTGAGACGTTTATCAACAAGCGGCCCAACAAACCTGCTGAACTTATTGGTAGGTCAGGCGCAGACCTACGTGTTTTTAACAACTTGGTAAAAGTACAAAATATCAACTCATTTTACTCTCATTCTATTGTGGTTTTTTATTAATTCCAGCTTGTGATAACAGCTTTATTGTTTCCCATCCAGCTAAATATGTGGATTCAAAGTTAAGAGCAGGGAACAAGGAGGCTACAGAGGAGGAGCTGGAGAGAATCCTGGACAAGATAATGATAATCTTTCGTTTCATACATGGTTAGTTACAGTTCTGTGTGTGCATGTGTTGTGTGTGTCTGGTGCATAAGTTGGGGTGTTTGCTTTCCCAGTCAATTACTGTTACTAACCACTGTGAAGCTTGTTACACTCTAATGAGACCTCTTCATCTCTGTTTTCTCACTCCAGGAAAAGATGTATTTGAAGCATTTTATAAGAAGGACTTGGCCAAGCGTCTGCTGGTCGGCAAGAGTGCTTCTGTTGATGCGGAAAAATCCATGCTGTCCAAGCTCAAACATGGTGAATCTCTGCTCCGATGTCTTATATCTTGAATTAGCAAGTTGTCATGGATCAAACTCTTTGTCCGAGCCGTGGATGCTTAAAGTTTCTGGGAATACTGGGAAATTGGCTCGCCTGTACTTTATTGGACTTAAGGGGATATTTAACTTTTAATGTTAACCTGGTCTGTACAGTATAACCACATTATATTCTCAATAACATTTAGCCTAAAATTTGAATGCACTTTTAAATCCTTCAGTTGAAGACTAGAACATCTTCCCTTGATGAACATTATGCTACTATGATACATGTAGAGAGGATGTTTGCATCTGCCCAGTGCTCTAGCAGCTGAAGCACTTAAGTATAATCTGCTGTAGTATTAATGTAACCTGCCAGTTGTGCATATGTGCTGGTGTGAGGTGTGAGAACAAGTCAGCTGTGACATCAGTGGTTTTGACTTCCTGCAGAATGCGGAGCGGCATTTACCAGTAAGCTTGAGGGGATGTTCAAGGACATGGAACTGTCTAAAGACATCATGATCCAGTTCAAACAGGTACTTAAAGTCTCAAGCTCGTAAACATACATGTGTAGCTTTAAAATGTTGATGGCATGTTTACAGTGTGTATATACATTCTACTGCACTATCATGAAATGCATTTTCCATGCATTTTCCATGCATAATTGATGTGATATTTCATCTCAGTATATGCAGAACCAGAGTGAGCCCAGCAACATAGAACTTACTGTCAACATCCTCACTATGGGCTACTGGCCTTCATACACACCCATGGAGGTCCACTTGCCCCCAGAGGTGAGCTTTTTTATGTCTAGATGCTGTTCTTTGTGTACACTATGTTTTGACTCTTAAGAGACTGTGTTATGAACAGTCTTGGTAAAAAATTCATCTCTTTATGTTTTGGTAGATGGTAAAACTCCAGGAGGTGTTCAAGCTGTTCTACCTGGGGAAGCACAGTGGGAGGAAGCTGCAGTGGCAGCCAACGCTAGGCCACGCTGTGCTAAAGGCAGAGTTTAAAGAGGTAAAGGCTTGGGACATCCTAACAGGGCATAGAGAAGAGAGACGGGTTGAGAAACTGTCTGAACAGCACTTACAATCACTACTTTATCCTACAGGGTAAGAAGGAGCTGCAGGTCTCGCTGTTCCAGACACTGGTGCTGCTGATGTTTAATGAGGGAGAGGAATTCAGCGTGGAGGAGATTCGTGCTGCCACTGGCATAGGTTACATGTCTTTAAATATGTAGTAAAATTATTCTATTGTGGGAGAGAGGTACTTGCTGTATCACACTGTCAATCTGTCTTGTCCTGCACAGAGGAGGGAGAGCTCAGGCGTACGCTGCAGTCCCTGGCCTGTGGAAAAGCACGCGTCCTTAACAAGAACCCTCGAGGGAAAGATGTGGAGGATGGAGACCGTTTCAATTTCAACAACGATTTTAAACACAAACTGTTCCGCATCAAGATCAACCAGATCCAAATGAAAGAAACGGTAAAAAGTACTAGCACATTCCTTTCTTTCTCTTTTCATTCACTCCTGCTCAACCAGGGCTTACTTTTACCCATTTTTTTGCATTTTCCTCCCAGGTAGAGGAGCAGGTAAGCACCACAGAGCGTGTGTTTCAAGACAGGCAGTATCAGATTGATGCAGCTGTGGTTCGCATCATGAAGATGAGGAAGACCCTCAGTCACAACCTACTGGTATCAGAGCTCTACAACCAGCTGAAGTTCCCTGTCAAGGTTACGTATCTTAAGCTTCTAATTCGTATTATTCACACACACGCACACACACAGAAATCTCATCAGCGTCTGTCTTGCCTTCCTCTCTACAGCCGGGCGATCTGAAGAAGCGGATCGAGTCACTCATAGACAGAGACTACATGGAACGTGACAAGGAGACTCCTAACCAGTACCACTATGTTGCCTGAGGGGGTAGCACTCACTGCCATGCTTTCCTCACAGCAAGCGTAAAGCTGGCCCCCCAAAACAGCATTACAGCCCTTCAGCCACCCACGACTCTCCTCTGGTGCCCATCTTTCCCTCCATCCACAATCCTGGACGCAGCATCCAGATCACACAGAGCTCCAGAGAGACGAGAGAGACTTGGCTGTACTGTTCCCACTCTGCGATATCTTTAGTGGGACTCTGAAATGGGGCTGGAGGAGTGGCCCGGGTTGTTGATGGTTGGTTTATGTGACTTACAAATCTGCTAATGCAAAACTCAACTGAAAATAACTAGCACTTTCCCCTGTTTTTGTTGTGTTTATCCTCCTCGGGATTGGGATTTTTTTTTTCTCCATCACATTGTTCTAAAATCACTTATTTTCTACTATAGTTGGTTTGTCTTGAGTTTTAAGATTTTTTTTTTTGTTTTTATTTTAATTTTTTGTTCATGAACGGCTGCATAAACTGCTGAGTGTAAACCTGATTGGTTGGTTGCTTGATTTGGCAGAGAAACAGCTGTTGAAGACAAAGAGAAGAGACTTGAGGACGAATGAAGTGGTCCTGAGGGGCCGAGTCAGATGTGTTTAGGTCAGAGGGCGGTGGTCATTGCTCGTAACACAGACGCTAAATGATATGCAGGCAAGCCACTTTGTCTTTGGGTATCTTGTATGTTTTGACCAAAATGTCCAAATGTCCAATGTCATGTGCTGACGTTTTTGTAGATCAGATTGTATTCTATGTACGAGTGAGAAAAGTGAACCTGAATAAATGGATATTTAATGATTCAAGTAATTATTTGTAGAGTTTGTAGATAACCTGCTAGTGGTAGTTTTGTTTTTACAAAGCCTGAGCTTGTTACATAGTTCTTGATGCTGACAACTCCTGCTGTCTAATCTGACTTTATCAAATCAATCTTAGCAAAACAGGGAAAAAAAGCAGAACTAGTTAATAGTGAGTGAGCAAATGAGTAACAAGGAGGATTTTTGTCTGAAATGCAGCTCTGTGGTGTGCATTTTAGGCATAAGAACAACATAGCAAAATGAGTTAGACCTGAAACTGCTATACATCACAACACTAATTTGTCCTTTTGCACTTTGTATTTCTCAGCCCCGAATGATAAAATAGCCAGTGGATTGTTGTCTGTTCTCTTTACATACACCTGATTTTGATCAATTTGGAATTTAAATGCACTGCTGTTTTCAAAAAATGATAGCCACCACTTTCATAGCAAGAGAAATGAGCCATTCAAGATTTGAATATCTCAAGTTACTGGAAGATGGAACTGAAAATGTCCTTGGGAATGTACAGCTTATGCAAGATTAAGAAATAGATGTTCCAATATTTCATCAAGAGTTAGTTGTCTAGCATTATAGTCACATATAAAGACAAGAAACCGGCATGTCTTTTGTTAAAAATCATGGCTGAAGAATGCAGGAAGAATGTAGCAGGGTCCTGATAAGTCTTGGACAGCAGCATTAAAGCAGCCTCTGCGTTCCTTCTAGGGTTTTACACGCCCTCGTGAATTGATGATGGTGTCAGCTGACTACCCACAACACATGCACTTGCAGCCTGCACAGCTCAGTGTGCGTGTGTGGACTCTCACATGCTCCCTTCCCATACAAAAAAGTATATGTTGTGCTCAAGATCATACATTAAACACATACATATATATATATATATATATATATATATATACACAACTGATCTTTTACATACTATGTACATTTAAATTATTACAGGAATGTTGCGTTCAAGTGTGCACTTAAGTCTAAAAGTCACCCCTCAATGCTTTCATTATTTTAAATACAACCATTGTATTTAGAATTATATAGGCTACTTATACTTAACGTAAATTTGAGTGAAAGCAAAGCCAATGAATGTTGCACTAGCATTTGGTTTGGTGTTTTCCCTCCGACCTCATTACATTTTAAATACTTTAGATTAATCAACAGTAACATGTCACTAGTGTGACTTCCCCGAAAAACGAGGATTCGTTGTTGTAGTATTATTCCTGGAAGTGCACTGTCTTTCTCAACAAGCGTCTCTTAACGCCTTGTTGGTATCACCTTGCCTACATTATGCACAATTATGTAATTTTGAAAAAAGTCCAATTTAACCATGATCAGTTTTTTCTCCCACAGTTCCACAAGACAAAATGATGTGTTCTCTTAGGCTACTGTTTATTTGTGACATTGTTTTTAATATGGGGCAGGGCTGATAGCCCTGAATAGAACTCACAGAGAGAGGCGGGGGGGGGGGGGGTGTGGGGGTCTCACGTGACTGGAGAGCTCTAAATGCTACCAGTTCACATGACGAGATATGGCTTATTCAGTCAGTGTGGCTATGACCGACACATTACTGCATCTACTGAGCGTTTTTTCTCAACAGGACATGCTTTGTGAATACTGAAGTAGTTTTCTTTCTATCTTCAGGCCGCAGAGAAACGTAAACAACAACAGTGACGCCACAGTTTTAGCTATCGGCCCGTGAAGTCAAGTGCAGTTTGTGCTGCGTCGCACCGAAGACCCACCTGCGCCTGCAGCGGCGACACAACCACACTTCTCCGGGCTTTTTTTACACTGTTTCTGGGCTACAGAGACAAAAAAAGTGAGGTCTGTCCTGTAGTGTGGTCAGAACCGAAGGATGAAACTCTCTCGCGCTTTGGCCGTGCTCATCATCGCCTCGTTTGCTGTTTTAGGTGAGTGTTTTTCGGTTTAAAGCTAGTCGTCGCCGTTTAGAAGTGACCGTTGGATCAAACAACGTCAATACATATGTCAGTGGTTAGTCGAATATGGTTGTTGACTAGGTAGATAAGTAGTGATTAATCTATAATCTTACAGTCGATTAATTGGCGACCAGTTTGCAGCTAAATTAATTTTACCACTGCAGCTGAGGAGTATTTTCATTATTGACTAATCAAACGATTATTTCCTTTTAATCATATGAAGTCTATGAAATGTCAGATAAATGTCATGACAAAATCAAAACACCCCAGATGTACTTATTTTCTTTTCTTTGCTTCGTCTACTCCACTACAAGTTAGAGGGAAATATTACTCCATTAAATTTATTTGACAGCTTTAGTGATTGACTAGTTCCTTTTATTAACAATACATATGAAGAGCTTATAAAATATGATGCTTTCTTTGTGAATTACAGTATTGTACCTAAAAATATATTGTATAGATGGACAGAAAATCAATTGATTACTATTTTGATAATAAGATTTCATGTTTCCAGCTTCCCAAATCTAAAGATTTGCTTCTTTTGCTTTTATTTTGATAATTGTAATTATTTTTTAAAATAATTTTGAAGTTTGGATTATTAGTTGGAAAAAAAACAAGCTGTGTTTTCTGAAATTTTACATATGAAACCATCAGTCGAATCAATTACTCAAGAAAATAATAGTGACATGAATCTATAATGAAAATAATCATTAATCACAGTCTATATTAAATCAGCTCCACCACAACCAACTACAAGAAAAATGTTGCTTACACATTATTGCATAAGTAATAGCTAATATGGTAGATCAACAGTCACAGAGGTCATGTGTCTGCATTGAGTACTTTATAATTTTCAAAGCAGAAATTTTACTTCGAGTTTACTTAGAGTGTTGTATAGTGGTATTATTACTTTTTATATTATAATATCAGGATCTGAATACTTCTTCCACCACTGGTAGCAACCATTTTGATAATAAGTTGTTTTGTGTCATTTTTTAAGAAAACATGACACAGTTTTTTGGTTTCACCTTCACAATTGTGAATATTTTCTGGTCTCCTTAATCTGCTATGATGGGTTTGGGACATTTTGTTAGTGCCACCTTAGGCCTTGGGAAATTGGAATCTACAATTTTTAGAATTTTCTTACATTTTATTGGTCAAATGACTTATCAATCAATTATTTGATAAAAAAAATAATTGACAGATTAATCAATGATAAAACTAATTGTTAGTTCCAGACCTGATACATTTAGTAATCAAAAAAATAATTGGGAACTGCAACTATCTTGGTAGGCTATTATTTAGCCAAGATAAGAGGTCTTTCTATCTTCAACAACTTGCTTAGGATGTAGAAATTATAGTCATGCACAGTTATTTAGTCATTATATAGTCATTCACAGCTTGACTTAATATATAAATATAAACTAGGGACATCCTTGTGTAGGTCAGTAACCAGTGGAAACTAAGATATATCCCTCCAAATTTGACCAAGTGGATAAGAGGACCTACAGCATTACAAAGTTTCACAAGGACTTGTCTTTCCAAAGTCCTAAATCCAAAGGTCAGTTGTCCTCAGGTAGGTGTGTCAAAACAGACCTGAGAAATCCCTGGACTTTATTCTATTCTATTCTATTCTATTCTATTCTATTCTATTCTATTCTATTCTATTCTATTCTATTCTAATGTAATGCCCAGGTTTTGTTAATGTTGTGGACCAGCAGATTGGCCTCATTGTTGTGTCATTTGAGAGCTTCATGTGACTATGATGGCTTTGTGTTGCACACAGCCCAGCAGGGGCCTACTGACACTGCTAGTTTATTACCAGTTTGATCATCCTGAACACACACACAGGCACCTGGCTGCTGACACAGGAAAACAGGCCAATGCAGATGTAGTTAGAGCAGTTGCAGTATAGGTTTTTTTTTACCTCTTAATGCTCATTATAAAATATATAATTGGATTACTGTATGCTCAGTTTTGACTTCCACTCATCAACATGATGAGGACTTCTGCTCAAGACCCTGCTGACCTTAGAGAGCATTTCCTCTCAACAGAAGGAGTAGTGTGGAATGCTGTTATTTTTTTTTATTATTTCTTCCACACCGACTGTCTAACACTGCTATCTGTAGCGTCAAACTTTGTACACACAGCCGCGTTAACCTCATGATCAGATTGCAGTGTTGTGTAAAGCGTCTGCTGTGTGTTTACAGGGTGAACAGAGAGGTGACTTTGTGGTCAAGTTTCAGCAAGGCAGCAGGGGAGATGATGTGTAACCGAGAGAGACTTTCCATTGGGATCATTAGATTGAATTAATGTAGAAAGTTGAAGATGAAGGAAGGAAGTGAGAAGCCTGTGAAAGAGGGAAGAGTTCAGTCAAAAGGCTGTATAATAAGTTACTTATGAAAGTAATGCCAGTAACATGGTGGACATCTGACACTACCCACAGGCCAAATGCTAAATGAATCTGTCTCTCAGGTAACCAGTTACTATTTGGGGCATGTTTTCACTTTCAAAAATCCTTCTTATCAGTACAATATTGCTAGTGGTAGGTGAATTTGGAACCTGAATTTTTTCCCTGACAAGTAGTTTTTATTTTAATGATCCTAAACGGTTGATACATACTTTATCATTAAAGTCTGACTAAACAGATTACAGAATTACAACATCTGTTCTGGTGGAAAGTCAACCAAAAAGGGAATAGTCTCCATCATGCACCAGCCACATTTGAGCTGAACTTCTTTGTAGACATTCTGGGAAGTGTGAAGCAAGTGGTGAAACTCCTGTGTTGCATTACTGTATTATAAAATGGGTGAGAACTTTTTTTTAAGGATATGAGTTGTAGGGTTGATAAGTACATGAGTCCTGAATAGCCACCACCATAGCTTCCAGACAATATGTTTGAGAAGTACAGCCACTATCGCACACACATAGACACCGAACAGTGAGTTGGCAGTTTCCAGGGAATAAAGGTATTAATAGCATACAATGCAAGTGTGAAAGTTGCCAGGTTGGCTGAGTTGCTAAATACCACTTGGTAATTCTGTGCATAGGAGCCACATTTAGTATACCTAACAAGTAAGGCTCCTGCCTCTATTGGCTTTGTTCCATTAGGTGTTCCAGGAAGTTTCTCCAGTGAGCAGTGTTGATCTCTCACTTTTAGCTGTTTGTAGACCTCTGGTGGTGGTTTGTGTGAACTGTTTTAGTGTATATGTAACACTGGTTAGGTTGTAATAATCATCCCTGTTACAATTTGCACTCATTTTGTAACATGTATCCACCCAAATACATTAAAAACAGATAATAAATACTTATTCAATATAAGTATGTATTCCAAAATCAGTGCAGTAAAGTCATCCCAATGCATTTAACGGCAAGCTGACCTCTATTAGCAGTTTTGCTCATCATCAGGTCACACTGTGCATTAATAATTTGAGCTGAGCAACATAAGAATATTTCTTGTAATGAATGTAGGATGTTTTCAGTTTTGTGAATTATGGCACACAAATGAACAATTCAGTGTAATTACCACGTTATGTATTTGTCCAGAATATGGAAGATAGAAAGCTGAAAATATGTATTTTCCAGTATATTTTCAGATTGTGTGAGTTTGTTTTTAAGATGTTAACTGTTAAAGTTTTTCCGTATTATTTCAATATTGTGGCTGTCACGTCACTATGTTCTCCCCGCAGGTCGTATTCAGGCTGTTACGCTTGAGGTGAATGAGGGGAACTCCACTTGCATTAAGGCTGAGCTTTCTGCATCATTCTCCATCACATACAACACCTCCAGCAGCACAGTATGTACAGTGACAACAGTGTTCTGGTTTCCATCTCTGAAAGCATCATAACAGTGCTGTAGCTCCTCATGAACACCAGTTGTACCACTTGTCTTTCATTAGACAACAGTGCAGGTCTCTCTGCCTGACTCCGCCACAGTCGATACAGGCAGCAGCTCTTGTGGCACAGACGGCAGCTCACCATGGCTGGTGGCAGTGTTTGGACCGGGCCACGCACTGGGGCTGAGCTTTTCAACCAATGGAAGTCTGTACAGTGTGGCTAACCTGACGCTACAGTACAACCTCAGCGACACTTCCTTCTTCCCTGATGCCAACAGCTCTGGTGAGAACAAACACTGCAACAATAATAATATTACAGTACAGCGAGAGAGCCCTCATTCTATCAACATTTCATATCCTCTGCCGCTTATCTCAGGTTTAGCTACAGGTTGTGAAAATTAATTAGGCTAGCTTAATTAATGTTATTTCAGTAGCTACCACTAAAAACTGTAATATTTCTGGTGTCTTGCCCAGTAACAGCTGATGACAGATCTGAACTGAATCTGAGTTATTTATATCTTTAGTTACTTGATGAGATTAGTAAGGATTAGGAATTGGAATTGATACTAAATTCAGATTCAATAAAATGCTATTGAACCCCAACCCTAACTATATGTCGGTAAGAAATTAAATTAATTGCAGTTGTGTTTGGAATAAACAATATTTTCAGTTGCCATCAGCAACCAAAATCTAACTTAATAGTACAGTAGTACACAAGGTATGCTGTATATCTGAAGATCATTGTTGTACTTGCTAGTATATACAATAAAGAACTAATGGGATCATATCCGAGAGGTAATATATTAAAGATGTAACTAATTTGTTGTATGTTTGATTGTGTCCTAGATGTGGTCACTGTGGTGTCGGCTTCAGTTGGGATCTGGGCGCCGATCAACACCACCTACCGCTGTGTGAGCCCCACCGCTTTTAGAGTTGGTGAAGAAAATGTCACTTTCTCTGATATGAGGCTAGAGGCGTACATGCCCGGAAATGACCTGAGTCCAACAGGTAGGGCACTGATTCTGTTTTTGTTTTTGAGTGGATGGGTTTCTAGGGTGTTTGACCGGCTCCTTAATGGTTGATTAGATATTTCTTAATAATTTTTCTCTCGTGACAGAAAGCGTATGTGTGGCAGATAAGGCCAGTACTACAGCTCCACCCACCACCACCACTGCTGCTACTACTACAACAGCACCGCCAGTACCAACCCCTCCAGGATCACCTGAACGGGGCTCCTACTCTGTGAACAACAGCAACGGAACAGTTTGTCTCCTGGCCCAGATGGGACTGCAGTTCAACATCTCCTATGTCTCTAAATCTCAGAATAAGGTAATATAGAGCTTCATGAGCAGGGACCGCTTGTAGTAGAATAATTGTTGAATTCATTTTTTAATACAAGTTGTTTTAACAAACTTGAAATGAACCAACTTTTTCTATACTTTGCCAGACTGTCCAAGATATAGTAAACCTGACTCCTAATATGACAAGTTCTTCAGGATCATGTGAAGCCAGCAGAGCTTCCTTGGTTTTGACACAAGAGCAAGCAACCACGCTCAGCTTCACCTTCACTTTGGTAAATCCATCGCTCTTTTTTTTTCTTTTTTTATGAATTTAGCTACATGGTCAGTTTGTTTTTGTTTGTGCGAGTAGATACAGTTATCCACTGAGCTCTTCCTCTAATCCACAGAACTCCACGACCAACAAGTACCACCTGAGTGGGATAGTTCTGTTCGCCAATTGGCCAGATATGACTGGTATGTCATTTGTACTGTAATAAGCAAAATGCTTTTTTCTTGGCTCTGACTTGTTTAATTTAAAGAAATACTAATCCAATTCTCTCCACAGCTCCCTTCTCAGCCAGAAACATTAGTCTGAACTACCTGCGGAGTACACTGGGCCGCTCATACATGTGCAACGCAGAGCAAACTTTGATTGTGGAACCAACCTTCTCTCTAAACACATTCAGACTGCAGGTCCAACCTTTCGGAGTCACCACCAGTCAGTTTGCTACAGGTATTACTGCTTTTCTTTCCTTTTGCCATATTATTCCAGCTTTTCTTTATCTTTGTCCTCTGACCTCCATTTTGTTTGTAATGGTGTTGTTTGTTTGGAGTAAGTAGCATCCTGTGGCCTGGGTAAGAAGCTGTAGTCTGATAATCAGACTGAATTACCATTTCACTGAAGTTTTTTTATGCTGGGTGAAGAAATATGCAGGTTTAAAGGAGTAGTTCGACATTTTGGTAAATTTGCGTTATTGCTTTCTTGCCAATAGTTTTACATGTTAATCAATGAGCTTTAGAGGTGTTGTAAGGTATATTTATTACTTGAGAGAGAGTCAGGCTAGTTGTTTCCTTCTGCTCCCAGTCTTTACTCCAAGCTAAACTCAGCTGTTGCTTCATATTTAGCGTACAGACATGAGAGTGGTGTCAATCTTCTCATCTGTTTCACTATTCACAAGAAAGCAACGACATGTAATTGCTCCTTCCTTTGAGAGTTATTTCTGTATGCTGTCTTACAACTCGTTTAGCTGCATCAAGCTCATCTGCACTTGTTGCCAATTTTGTGGCTATTATTCTGTCAATAATTTTATGGCTCTGGCACAGCAAGATCACTGCCACTGACAAACATCTGATTGGCTTGGTCATCTCTCCTAATGGCTGTTAATGAGCACACCACCAGAACTATGTGAATCACTGTAAAAGAAAAGATGTGTGTAGAGAGAGTTTCAGTGGTCTGGAACTAGGCTCAGGCATACTTACATCAACAAGGTCAACACTTCTGAATCACCCCTCAGTAATCCATCTATTAAAGCTGCAGTTGGATAGGGCATTTACTGATTCTGCAATCCAACTGTTGATTCTCGCCTTTTCTGTCTCTAGCGGAGGAGTGTCAGATGGACCAAGACCAGATGCTCATCCCCATCATTGTTGGAGCAGCGCTTGCCGGCCTGGTGCTGATCGTGCTCATTGCGTACCTAATAGGCAGGAAGAGGAGCCATGCTGGATACCAGACCATCTGAATGGACCCTTCATTTAACTTAAACCTGACAGACTCAATAGTGGAGAGATGAACCTTAGTGTGTGAATGAGCAAGTGGACACGAGCATGAGTGAATGGAAGCAGTTGTTTCTCTGTGGTGAGTGCATGTTTTTGCATATCCTTTGTGACCTCTGGATAGTTTATTTTCCCTTCCATTTCTCTGTGGAATGATGATGAGAAGCCAAATACCTGCTAAGTTTAGATGGTGTGCATCTTTATGACACTTGAGAGGACTGAGTCTCCACATAATCAAAGATGGATGCAGTTTGAATTTGCTTTAGTAAGTTCACCGCCAGCTGTTCGGCTCTACTCTTGTTTCATTATGTTCTAGGGATTTGAATTTGCTTGAACTTCTGTCTGTTGTTGTTAGCTATGTAAAATAGCATTTTAAGAGTGAGAGTCAAAGTAACTTAAGACAAAGCAAATTTTTTAAAAGTTCCAATGGCTTGGCCGCTATTGGTCTTAAGTTTGACAATTTAGGATGTCTGCACAAGTAAAAACATTCAAAGTGGAGTTTTATTCTTACACATGCTCACCAGTATTTTTTTTAAATTCATGAGCATAAGATAATCCCAGTTACTCCAAGAGAAGGGAACACTCTGAATGTGTCTTTTTCAATCATATTCCTCCACAGTGGAGACAGATAAAGTCTGAACTGCCCCATTGGTGCACTGAGGCACAATAAAGTAACTGGTAATTGTGATGATGAAAATGTGGATTGCTGCTTTGTGCGTAGTGGTCCGACCATGCACATAGTGCGACTCTGCATTACTAAAATGTATTTAACAGGACAAGTGAACAGGTGCATTGGTTAATTTTCTATTCTTGCTTTTCCCCACCCTCTCCCAAAAGAAATATCAATATGAAGTGTAGTGATTTGATCTTTTATTTTTATAGAAAATGATGTGATCTCGTTTTCTATTATGCATCTTACTGAAAGTTAATAAAAATCTTAAAAATCCAGCACAGTTTTGGAGTATTTCATGCAACAGCACCTTTTTTTGATTTGTTTCATCTAGTTTTGTGTGAAATAAACATGGCTGTTTACTCATAGCTGTTCAACCAGGTGTACATCACACAGAATACCCAGAGCTGGGATCAATGCCAAGGTTATTTCTGTCCAGTGCAACAAAATCTGATATCAGTACTACAGAAGTTTAAAGGGCCCCAAAACCCAAACAAAGGACAGACTGAACACATCATTGTTATATAAGTAGAACAGCCCTTTCAATTGTGCTTATATTGCTTCAACATAGTGCACTTGAATAAACTGCATCAAATCAATATAATTCACATTGGATTACCACAGCATGTTCTGCCAGCATGATATGTCATAGTATAGTCAGTTAACTATCCAGATGACAATGTGAAATACAGTAGGTAGCTTCCTCTGGGGTGTGTTAACATTGTGCAACACATAATTTATCTAACATACCCATTTGCTGCCAAGCCTGTTCTCTTCAGTGTCTGACTTTTCAGAGTAAAGTGCATAATTCCATGCTTTAACAAAAGAAAATATTCATTTAAGATGAACTACATGTTAATTTCAAATGGAATTGTCAGCTCATACAGCACATAACTAAGAATATTCTCATGATCATATATATACACATTTAGATTGTATGGCTGTCTAAACATATGATTAAGACAAAAACCTCACGTAGTATTTATTGTGAAATGTCAGTTAAAAAAGGTGCAAACGAGCTGCTGGGTGCTTCTCCCAGTGGAATGTATTGAGTTTGAACAACAGGTGAGTAACTTTGTGTCATGACTCCTCCGCAATGATGCGAGATTGACATGTCACCCGCAGCTTAGTCAAGGTTGCCATGGGAAGACTTCCTGGTTCTGTGAAGATTTTCTAGGAAGGGAAAGAAATGGGATTATGTGATTAAAGAAGGCAAATCACAAGGAATGTTTATAATTCCATTCATCAGTTCTTAGTTTACCTGCATGAAAGTGTGGCATTCATCAACAAATGGTCCATGGGTGATCTGCTTGAAGATTTGGCAGACATCTGGCAGCGACTGGGCCTGTTGAATCAGAGTCTGGTTGTGGTGGATCAATGTCAGAGCTACACGGAACAGGATTTTCGAGCCCTCGTAAAACAGGCAATCCCAAATCCGCAGAACTGTCTGCAGAAAAACAGCAACAGAGAAGTAAATCCCACCAATGAACATGCATCATGATGTACATTATGAAATGTTACCTGTGGTATGCAAAAAGAGGTTACTAACAGTGATAGGACTGATTACAAACAAAAACAACAGGTTGTAGTATGTTGTATGAAGAGTCACATCCAAGTGCAAGTAAACTACTGAAAATGCATAAATACTCTTGTCGTCATTGGACGAGTGCACCAAAAAAGCAGTGACTTTTTGCATTGTAAAGACAGGGGATAAGGAAAAACTAAGAAAACTAACAATATATTCAATAATTGGCCTTCAATTTGTCACTTGGGTGCTTCAAGAGGAGGAACTGAGGAAAAACTCAGACATTGCAGCAGTAACCTTGAATCGATCTTGGTGGGAAATCAGTGAGGAATCATGTTTTAACAACAACTATTGGTTGGCCACGGTGCCTGAGAATGGGAGTGAAATCTTGAGGGAACTGCAAGAACATCTGCAAGTGTTACACCCTCCCAGTAAAGCTCCATGTGTGTTTAGAGAACTAACACAGCAGTCCACACCCTCTTCAGGCCAACAGAGGGAGTCAGCAACAACAAGGACTGTTGTATAGTGGATTGGCCATTCCCAATTCAAATAAAAGGAGGAATAAAGGACTCATTTATCAATCTGCTATCTGAATCCAATAAAAGCAGCACTGGCACACTGGAACACATGGATTTAGTGAATTGTGTAGTATGGTGAGTGGTGTTTTTTGACAGGGCTTTTATTGTTTGAGAGATTAGAGGATACAAAACATTAAAGTTTAGAATGATGTTGCTGTCATTCACATAATGGGAAAGTGGTCTCAAACTTTTGGACCCCACTGTATATGTATGCCTGACTTGCCCAATCAGTAAGTTATCAAGCTTTCTTAAATGGCTGAAAAAAAAAAAGATTGAGGGATGTCTTGAAGCTCACCTCTACTGGTAAGATGTCTATGTAGAGGCAGATGAACCATCGTGAGACCACCAGTGTCCACATAACGTTATGATCCACCATGGTCTGCCAGACTCCGGGGATTTTTATTTTCACTAGCTCCCCTAACACGTCCTGGTCTGTCTTCAGCCCCAGCATAGCTGGACTGTAGTAGTCTGTAATCTCACACATAATTATGAGTTATATACATTGCTCTTAATTAATGAACTGCAAACAGAAATAAACAAATCAACTTCTGTGATACAAAACAGGTAAAATGAAAAACCCAATTCAATTAAATTGTTGCTACCAAGTTTTTTTTCTAATTTATAGAGGCATTCCCTTGTTTCAGTGAGTGTAAGTTACAAATGAAAACATGTTGTCGGTCTTAAGCCACGGAAAGATATAGACCATGTGACCTCTTATGAGATTATTCTTAGTCCAGAGCAAAGGAACAACCGGAACACCTACACACATGCACCTGTCAAGAGACCAGAATGGTGCCAAACAGTGTACATACACACCTGGTAAAATTCTGCTGAGTAGTGCATCCATCAGCCAGAAGGATTTCTCTTCATCTTTTGTGATGATAAGCAGATACCCAGCTATGAAGTTCATCCCCTGAAGATAAAAGAGACTCAGGTTGCACATGAAGAGAGCATGTAGAGCTCTATAATAAAAGAATCCAGGGGAGAGACCAGTAAGTGTGCACTGAACATGAAACAAGGAGACAAATAACCATTCAAATTAAAACAGGCTACCTGAGCGTGATTAGAGATGAATGGGTTCTAGTTATACTACATAAGAGATGTAACCATAAAAACAGCCCTGCTGTCTGTTTGAATTGCAAAACAAGCTGCATATGCTCTGGTGAATGAAATTTGCCTTTCAAATGCTAATAATTAGCATAGGGCTAAACTGAGCTGACACTGACAAAAACATACTTTCTTTGGATACATAAGCCTGGGAGTACCAACTGGAGTTATGCGCAAGTATTGATAATGCTGTAAAAAAAAAAACAACAACTACTTCTTACATACAGTAAATGATTGCCTGTGATATATTCCCTTCCATTAAGCACACAAAACTTTGCATTCTCAACTTCATTTTGCATATGAAGATTTAAAGACATTTTGAATAATTATTGTTCAATTATCCACAACAATAATGAACTGAACCCTTGAGTGCATTTCAGTAATACAGCACTATACAAAAAAATGAAAAAATGTTCACTACTGTGTCGTTCTAACCCACATTACCAACACAGAATCACAACACAAGGTCCTTGGCAACACCAAATACAATCCCAGTAACAAGTAAGTATCCATGGGAATAGGTATGGTATTATGCCTAAATCCACTTAAGGCTGGATGCTCAGTAGTTCAGTATTACCTGGCAGTAGCCCACAGCTGAATTGTGGTGACCATAAGCCACCAGCACATTGTACAGTGCTTTCTGCAAACATGGGTTGGATGTCTTGCGGAACTGGATGTTGTCTGGAAATGTTCTGTTCAAGTCTGAAAGAAAAGAGACCACAGGGACACTCATCATTACTCTGCGCTGTGTTTGTGTGTGTATACAAACACAAGAGTGAGGGAAGACTCAGCAAAAAATAGATTATAGTCTTATGTTAAAATTATATTGAAACACTAACTAGAAAATCTTTACTTTTATATATGTTTTTGGCAGCAGATGTAACACTGTATGTGAAGTGGTAAGAAATTCACCCTGCTCAGGCCAATAGTGGAAAATACTATAGTACTTAAAGGAGCCACAGAGCAAGAAACTTAATTTCTTTCCGCTGCCAGTGCCTGCCCTTCAGTTCAGGGAGAAGGATCATTTTACCATTTTTTATGGAGAACAGTTTTTTTTCTATAAAGGATAAATTATTTGTTGTTGTGATAACACAGCTGTAAAAATAAAAATGATTTACTCATAGTATTAAAAACCACTGTGGACCTTTAAAATCTTTGTCTCTATTACTCTAATTGGCCTTATCATTTCAGCAGTACCCATCCCTTGTGTTCTTTCAATGCCGTGCCATTTTCATTCTGAATGCCTGATCAGTATTTCACACAAGGAAACATCAACAGTTTAGCTGGTCTGGTTGAAGAGCAGTTTCTCTTATTCGCAAAGCCAAACATACTGTATGTCACATTTAAGACTAAACAACATACAGGCTCTGAAACACCAAACTGTGGGACATCATTGTGCCCTGTGTGGCTGAATGTAGGTTTTCCAGTGTGTCCGGCACTGCTGGCTATAGTCAGCCTTTATCAGCAACTGTTGAGCCGATTCAGCAAACTGAATCAGCCTCAGTGGCAGTCATCGGGAAAGAATTCCCTGACTGGGTGTTCAAACTAAATCTGTTATTTTACACATTTAGTGCAGTTTCTCCTTATTGTTCATCTCCAACTTATATTTGCACTTGCAAAAGACCACATGATGTCATTGTCAGTGCAAAACAAACTTTACAATGCCACTTGCAACATTTTGTATTCCACACTTATGTTTTGTATGTTCATGGTAGAGATGGGACTTATAACAGAGGACATGAGGTGATACATCTATGTGTCTTTTGTTTGTGCTAGTTTTTTTTTTTTAGCTTGGCTTGATGTGTGCCAGGACTCTCAACTGTTGAAACTGTTCACAGCCTGACCTGTGCAGATGGTCTCCACCAGTTTGGGGTCATGCTGGGCTCCGAGCAGGGACTGGTAGTATCCTGGGTTCTTCTCTAACTGGTCTTGAGCCCCACTGGCTGCCATCCAAATCAGAGCTCGGTGCTCATTGGGAATCCCCTTACGCACATAACGCTTTACTGAAGGAGAGGGGGAACATTTCAGTTTAATCCCCACTTTTATTTCATGCAAGACTCTCTCCTTGAGCAAATGTGGGTGTGTGTTCAGTTTTCACACTTACATTTTACATTCTTCTGCACCTTGCTTTTGCCCTTCAGTAGTTTGGACCATTTGATGGACCGTCGGGTGAGCACAACTAGATACTCAGACATGAGCTCCTCATATGATTCATAATCAAAGTCCTCTGAACGCTCAAAGCCATATGGATCCACCCTGGGCCAAAAAGCACAAGGTTAGAAACTGTTAACATGATGAAACACTTTAAAGGACTGTTTTCAGTCAGTATATCACAATAAACATCAGAATTGCCAAACATTCACATCATAGCACTATAAACCTCAAACAACAATCTTTAGTAGCACATGTCTCTACATTACCTACATCTACTATCTGGTTCTAGATGAAAAAGTTGTGGGTGTAGGTAGCTCAACCTAATGCCTTTAGGTAACACGATAATCTTCCTGCAGCTTAACCCTTTCATGAGAACAAAGTCATCCTAGCAGAAGAAATGCACCTACAGACCAGCAGTGTGGTAGGATACTAGATCTGTTTTGAACATGTTCAAGCACAACAGACCTTCCAGCATGTAACCCCCTTACTATGTACCAAAAACAATCCATGCTTTAACTGGTGTGGCTGTGCAAATACTGGGTGAAAATAAGTATCACTATGCAAGATTTTTTTCCTCATCAGGGAATGTCCTTGTTGGCAAAACAAAAGCAAGGGTTCACACTGGATGTTTCAGGGTAGAGTTTGCGAATGTGGCACCTGATTTCAGGTGTTGGTTCGGGTTATCAATGTTTGTTTGAACAGTGCAACAGCCCTCCTTCTCATTGAAAATAATAATTTATGAGTTATGTATTGATTTCACATATCTACAAAAAAGCCACAATGCTTAAGCCTAAGTGTATATGTAGATAAAGTGGATTAACTGCACTATTTCAAGTGCAATTCCACTGAAGTCCAATATACACTCAGTTGCCAGTTTATTAAGTTCACCTTGATAAACAGTCTTATACAACTGTCCTGCAATAATCTAACCTTCATGAAGGTCCTAATGTTCAGTTTTCTTTTAGAGAGGTGCTGATTAAACTTTATGAAGGGTGTCTCTTAAATTTAGTGTACCCTTATGAATATAAAAGTGGTGAAAACAATGTTATACTTGGAATTGTTTTTATCTGGTCTGTCCTTATTGATATTAATGTGTCTATAATACTAGAAACACCACTGAAATTCAACAGAACCAGAAACTACAGCTTCCAATTTGTCCATTATATTAAATTAACACCACGCTAAGACAACAACAAAAAGCTAACATTATACAGGAGGATTTATTATAAAGCTGTTGTATCAGACTGCATTAGTTGTATCCAATAAATGGAATCTGAGATAAACCGCTTTGTTTCCTATATGCACAAACATTAGTTAGTTATATTGGTACATTTTGAAAATTCTAAAAATTTCTAATGAGCATACAACAGCAGGCAAGTGCAAAACTCCTAAAGAAGAAATACAACTATGTAAATCAGATTATTCATCACCTGAGTCCATTTATTCAGGAGACCTATGAAATGCAGTCTGTCCGGAGTATACAGAGTACAATAATTTTGCATTATCCAAGCAAAGTTGGATTGCCAACCAGGCAAAGTCGCCAACTGCCCAGGGAACCCAGACACTTAGGGGGCCCAGAACCTCCAGGTTTACTCTACTTCTAACTACATAATTTGATTACTCACAGATTTGTTAGAAATGTGTACCACTTGAAGTACAATCAGCTATGACCAGTCGCCCATCCTTCATCTTCAATTATTTTCACTATCAAACTGACAGTTATGTTCTTTAATAATTAATTTATTGTTCGGTGAATAAAATGTCTATCATTATTTCCCAAAGCACAAGTTAACATATTTAAATTGCTTCATTTTGTCTGACCAACAGTAAAAAAACAAAAAAAACCCAAAGATGCTAAGTTAACTATCATAGAAAACTTGAAAATATTCACAATTGAGAAGATGGGACAAGTGAATTTTTGACACTGTGCTTAACCCAATAATGAATTATCAAATTTGATTTGTGGCAATTCATTTAATGTCAGCCAGTTAATGGACTGATGAACTTCTCATCTCAGCTCTAGATGATTGGTTGGTTTTGGTGCCAAAGGAAATAATAAAACTACCATCTATAGTAGGGGATCAATGGGGGCCCACAACATTTTTTGCTCCAGGGCCCTTGAAGGAGATTAATCCAGCCATGATCCCAACAAATGATATTACACTGAAAATAACTTTTTTTGGGGAAAAAACTACAAATAACCTCCAACCGTTATCGAGATATGTTGAAATACAACATGTACAAGTAGCTGTAACGGCTAGAGTAACGATCGTAAGTAGTTAGCTAACATTTCTGTTTACAGCTTCCAGGAATAAAGTAATAACCTGTTTCAGAATGTACTTATCTCGTAAGTTACTAAAGTACTGTTGACTTTCCACAATAGATAAAATATGGTTTTAAACGTTTTAACAGGCTGGGTTAAACGTTAAAGCCCAACGTTAAGTTAGCTAACGTTACCTGTCCACTCTGTCTTTAGCTCTACCGTCAGCGGAGCGGGTCCGGTTAGTCGCCTTGTTCTTCCTCTCCATCGCCTCTTCTGCTCCGGTGATATCCTGAAAATCCGTGCTAGAGTCTCACCATGTATCCGCCGTGTTCTTTTTCTCCAAAAACAGAGCAAAAGTTTACAACAAAGATGAATCTCGAAGTCACAGTTTAAGTTGAGGTAAGTTAGCGTTCACTTTCTCCATGTTTGCGTGCTCTCCGGGACGACACGCTGCTGCTTTTTTTTTCCACACTGGGATTAACATGCTATTCTCGAAGAGGGGAAGCCGTGAGAGGCATGCTTAAGCTGTTTCCACAAACCAAGAACTCGTTTTGGCTCGAATATTTTATCCGCTGATGTTCAAGCCGTGTGGAGATAGTGGAGTTTGCTGAGCTTTATCGACATTCACATGCACCTGCTGCTGGTGGTCCCCCTCTCCTCGGAGTGCAAGAAACTGTCTGATAGCTCTAAAAGCAACAAACAAACATAACGGCTAGCTAGGTGAATTCTACTCAGTGTAATCCAAATAACTCAAGTCACTTCTACTCCTCTTGTCCGGACTACTCCATGGAGGATTTCGGACTCGTGACGTTTGCCCCGGGACACACACGTCAATCAGACATAATGATGTGTTCAAATAAGTCCCGTAACATCCTACTTTAGAGCTCTCATGGGATGGCAAAATGTGATTTATGATGCATTCACGAGGCCTTGGATAGAAAAAAGTGGACCTGAAATTATTTTAAATAATTCAGGATAACCCCCAATATCCCTTCCCATTATAACACAACTCAACTCAAGCCCTCTCTACAGACAATACCGTAGACTTACAGGCACTACGTGGACTGCAATGACCTACGCGTCACTTTAAAATTGTAATGAAGCCACCAGTCATATCTTTACAGTAATGAGCAATAAAACAGTAAATCGTAAAATGAGCCATCTACGAACATGCCAAGTTGTTGCTGCTTGATGTAAGAATGCTCACTCTGTGGTCCATGAGGAATGACACTTCCCTGTATGTTTACATGCATATGTGTGGAAATGACAATAAACCTGAAGAGGAACTATAAAGTATTAAAGCTGGTAAAACCTATCCATAACCTTACTTTACCCTGAGTCTATCAAGTTATCTTTGCCTTAGAATATCTACCATTTCACTGTGAACTGTTTATAATTAAGTTCACTTCAATTCTACTATATTTATACCTCAAAGGTAATTGTATGCAGATCTCCAACCAGAACAACACACACAAAACTAGATACATTCAAATACTTTATGTGAAACTGGCAATAAATACATTAATAAATAACTTCAATATGTAACTATAACATTAACATCTCTAACAATCTAAAAAAATACAAAAAGTAATGAGACTGTGCATAAATGCATTAAAAACTGAGAAGCCAACAGCAGAGGAAATAAAGGACTTTGAGTAATGATTAGTTTTAATGTTCAGTGATATACATATTCATAACTTATTCATATATTGACTGTATATGAGAATACAAAACAATCCCTGTCTGGCACTAAGCAACTGCAACAGTGAGAAAAAATAGGCGTTTCAGAGCATTTTGTAAAAATATCTAGTATTCTTTTGGTATATAACATATGCACACATTAATGTCAACTGTTTACACAGATACAGCCTGCAATGTAGCTGCCATTGGCAACTCCCTCCTCATAATCTAGAGTCCCCCATTTGCACTTAACGGTGTAGAATGTCCGATAACACGTGAAGGCAGCAAAAATTGTAAGTAGCCGCGCCCTCTTCAGCACAGTCACGTAGCACAGGTAAATACAGGCATCTGTTAACCTGAGCCTCTCCTGGTCCATGAAAATATACCTGGATTCAAATATATTTGCTGCATGGGTGTTTTTGTCCTTGAAAATCATTGGAAGTTTGCACATTTCACAACAGAGAGAAAAAATAATACTAAATAATCATAATGATAACAAATGAGGCCAAGAGTTTTTGAAAATAAATGCACGAACTCAAAAATATGGCCCTCAAATTCCACAGTTTATTTTAGCTCTTTCTGTCCCAGCATCTGCACTGCTTCACTTCTTTAGGGAAACATATGATGAATTAATGATTTTTTTTTATTATTGAACTAATATTATTAAAACATATATATGTATCATGTATATTTAAAATGACTTAAAAGTCTTGCACAAGTAAGAATGAAAAAACCTTGGTCTTACTGGAAAAGGTGGTGAGCATCAAAATGAAGTCACCAGATTTCAATTTGATTATGAGCTAATGAGAAAATCTGGAGCAGAGCTGCAGATACTCTGTCCCAATGCTGTCATCCAGCTTAAGGCAGAACTGTCCCAAAAATCATACTAAGGCTGTTCCTGGTGACTCTTTCTTGTAGTAGTTTCTTATTTTAAAAAAGTTGGAAAAGGGAAAATCATGTAGGCCTAGGGATAGAAAAGTGATTAGTGTAAGTTGTACTCAAAAGAGGCTAAGTAAAGGACACCTCAATTAATCAAGCTGAGAAACTGTTTCACGTATTGTTTGATGTGGCCCTTTTTGGATTTGTTTGCTGTCAGAAATAACTACATCTTTTAGTTGTAAATTAAAAAATACAATGATTATAGTGACATAAAGAGCCAACTGTAATCACCACAAATCTCCAATATAATTAATGGTGTGGGTGTGTGTGTAAAGAAGTGACTATACAGAAATTCACTACATTTATAGAAAGTCATGCTTAGCCCAGTCTAAATAAAATTACTTAAAATTTGATTTATACGTTTCTGCCCTACATACACACATAGACACTCAATAACAACACCATACTTGTCATCAGAATAAGCCTCGGGATAGACAGATGATGGATCATAGGCCTTGAGGTTTTATCCTCTTGTGAAAATACCAGACTAAGTCGAAATTAAGACTCATATTTCTGTAGTGATGTAATCCTGCTGGCAGGCAGGGTTGGAACAGTAAATTGGATGAACCTCCAGCCTCTGACATGTTTGGCACTGCAGTGTGACCATTCAACTGTTTTCGGCAGTTGCCCCTACATGCTTTTTAGACACACTACAATTCTGTTTAAGTGTGTTCTCGGCACTGTTCCACAAATACAAAAGGTCATCTCAAAGTTCAACTCCAATTAGTCCATCTAGTGTGTAAGAATGTCTTCATTCATGTGGGGGATTGAAGATCATGAACAAAACACTTTTCCTTCTTGGTAAACAACTTTGCAACCATTATGACCATTTGGCCAGTTCTCCACAAAGTGGTTTATAGTTCGTTTGTAAAGAAAATCATATTAAAGTTGTTCTTATATAGTACAATGGATTTCAATACATGGTTAGCAAATCGACTAAAATGACCATATTGCACTGTTCCAATAATGAATAAATCACGCAGCATGTGTACGTGCTAATATAGTTTTGATTAATTTTTTTTTTTTAAATATACAAGCTCCATTCATACAAATAAAATACTGTGTTGTATCTTAATAGTCACAGGGAAAGAAAAGAAAAAAAGAAAAGGAATCTTGCATTAAAGATTCCTTTGCATGTAAATTATTTAGGGATATAAGGTATACAGTCAAACTTGAGCAGTGTGCAACAGACAAATAACAATTGAATTAACATAAATTCTTACTGAATTAAATTGTATTACAGCTTCAAAATGAAAAGCTGTTTTAAGTCCAACTAGTCTTCTGTTGCACAGCCCTGTGAATGCAGTGTGAATGTTTGTGCACTACTTGTTTATCCCCCATTTCTGGTAGCCTACTATGATTACAGTGTTAAACCCTTTTAAGTCTTGCTAGTAGAAAAGATGATGATTCATTTGTGCATGCTGGTTTTTGTACAGAAAAAAAACACTAATTATGTTGGCAGTACGGTTTGCAGCAATTCAACCTTGACAAGCTCTTGGCCAGTCAACTGTTGTAGGTCATTTGGAGGTTATCAGTGTTACTATCTATGCAAATACGCTGAATGGCATTTAATACAAGCCTATTCAAATGAAAAATATTTTTGCATCAACAATGTTGTGACAAATACACAAGATAAGGGTTAGTCATAGGTTTGTACTAGCTTGTAGATGATCACATGTGCTCATTTGCTTCAACCTTTAAGGAAAAACACCAGTGTTATTTGTTGCTTCCACCATGTTTTTTTTTTTCTACAACTGTGACTGCTGATGTATAAAGGTACACTGAGAGAAACCTAAATCTTGATTTAAATTCCTTGTACAGTATCTGTGAAAGGAAGCAGTGCTTGACTAGCAAACACTGACTCTAGATCTGAGAGTGTGCTTTGGCGTCCGTCCATTGGCACCAACCAACCTAAAACGTGAAGGTGTCAGTAAAACGTATGATTTTGGGTTTATATATTTGTTTGACTGATGGATCCCCATAGTTGATTGTTGTATACTTTGGCTTCTGTTTTGGCTTGTCTCTTTCAGGTTTAATCTCAGGTAATGTTAAAGAAAATGTCTCACTGTCTTCAAATGCAGCCTTATTGGCAGTGACTTCAGAAAGTCTAAAACTTTGTCGCATATTAGTATCTTTTATGTCCACTAGTGTTACATCTTCTTTTTCCTCCCTGGAATCCTTGTCGTTTTTTTGTGGTTTGGCCTCTGTTGGTTTCTTTTTTGTTGTTATATGAAGGGTGATGTCATTAGGAGGGCATGTATCAATATCTTGAAAGGTTTCCATTGTCATTGTCATCTGTGCCATCATAGATTGTGATGGTGGAATTGCAACCGAAGGCGTTATAGTATCTCGTTCTGGTGCTGATTGAGAGGAGGAGTTAGTCTGATCAGGAACTTGTTGACTGTAAACACGTGGGATGACGTACTTGGGCAACCTTCTTTGAATAGTCACTGTTGAGTCTTCCACTGCTCTGTTCTCCGTGGAGTCATGACCTGTTTCTGAAGAAAGTCCCTCTATTTGGGGTTTTACAGTGTCTTTAGTTACTGTAGTGGAGGGTTCACCTACAGATGAGTCGCTGTGAGAGTGTTGTGGAGCTCCATGAGGTCTGTCTTTATTCACATATGGTATCTTTTGTGAAATCTCAGGTTTGGTTTCTTGCAGATATTGTTTAGGAGAGGAATCTACACATGTGGACCACACAGTAGAACAGGTCATTATGGTTGCCATGTGCCAGTTCAATGGGACCTCTACCTGAGGAAAAAGCCTGTATGGCTCTGGTGTTGACCACTCTGTGACAGAAGTTAAACAGAGCAGCTCTAGACATCCATATTTTAACCTTTCATCAACTAAGGTTTGAATTTCACCATATTCCCCTGACCTCCAACCCTTAACATTGTTATTGTTAGCTTGGCCATTCATATGTTTTAATGAACAATAACTGTCAGCCTTTTCATCTGAAGGCTGGTGCCCCATTTGCCCCATTTGCCCCATTTGCTCCACCTTCAAATGATCTTTTTCTTCCAGGTTTGAGTTTACATTTGTCAAAATGTCTACTGCCTGCTCTGGTCTTTGTTCCTGCCCATTTGTAATTTGATTTCTTTTCAATTGCTGACCAACAGATTTACTTTTCATCTGCTTGTGTTGGTTTTGTTTGTGGATTGTTTGGTCTCTTTCATGACAAGCTACCTTCTCTTTTATACTACTTGTCACCTTGACTCCTCCAGGGGACCTTTTATGTGAACATTTCAAGTCACTTCCCTTGCATACATTGGCCATGGTCTCAAACCTTTCCATCAAGGAAGACAAGAAGATCCCTCTCCCAATGAGTTTCGGTTTGATTGGCTGTTTCTTCTTCTTCATATTCAGGCCCCTTTCTCTCTGTTCAGCCATGGCAAACTTGGCCACCATATCCTTCACACTGCCTCCTCTCTTCAGTCCTTGTTCTCTTTTAGCTCGGTCCTTCTTGTGCATGTCGTGCTCACTGTTTTGGCTGTGGTTCACCTTACCTGCCACACCTCTGCCAGAGGATAGAGTTCCTACCTCCCTTTGGTGGGTGACAGGAGATTTGGGCGTGGACCTTAAAAACTTAGATTGGAGGAGCTGGAATGTGGTAAGGCGCCGGGGAATTAAATCTTCTGCACTATGATCTTCTCCATACTTGCATGGCAATCTGTCTTTTTGTGGATCCAACCAGCATTTTTCAAGAATCTTGGAACTAGTCTCAGCAGTTTTTCCCTGCATCATTTGATGCTCCTCAGGGAGCTGAACCATAGTGCAACTTGTCTGAAGTTGAGTCTGCTTCATTGAAGTTTTAGTTCTCTGATCAGGACAATCTATGTTTCTTGTGTTTCTTTCTGCTCCAATACCAGACCCTGGCTTCTCCAGGATTCTGTTTCCTGTGGACCACTTGGGCAGATGCTGTGTTAGGTAATGCAGGAGACTCTCGAGAATCCCTCGGAGCACTGGACGGCAGTTACGATCTCTAACCAACTTCCTCAACATACTGGAATCAGGGCCGATACTGGTGTTCCAAGAATCTGGTCTACGGAGAAGAGGACATGCAAAACTTAATCCCTGTAGCCATCTGCAGCCAAGTTTCTTTTTCTGAAATTGATAGCACCATCATGAACAAGAATTTGGGGGTAACTCTTGCTTAAACCCACCTGTTACACCTGTTAAATGGGGGAATATTCAATTAAGGTTGGCTATAAGTCTCTTTTAACCCATATACGTAAATCTCTGAGAAATGAACATCAATGAACTGGACAGGGATTCGTTTTTGGAGCATAGTGAATTTGACCTTTCACTGTGACCATATGTCACTGTAACTTGGAGTAATCTCCAAAGAAACAGTTTTTACCTTTTACTTATTATTCTTCCACCCCTGTGATCTTTGAGTCAATAAACATTACTTCTACTTGAATTGGATAAACCAGAAGTCATCCCAACCATGCAGCAAAGTACGGTACTTGAAGTGAGGTGTTCTAGCAGCGTGAACTTGTTACAGGTGATTAGTTCAAGGGATTGTAGAGACAGTTGTGCAACAAGACGAGGAAATCTGGTCGAAAATTAAGAAGCTCTCCATCAAAATAAATGATGCAGTTAAGATAAAGAGACACTTCATGAGAGGCACTTCATGCATGATATATAGTCCATTTTAATTGTCATATCATATTAATATTCACCATGTACTGGTGCTTTCACAATATGTTACACTGTACCTGTAGAGCATCACAGTGCAAATAATATAATAAATAGTATGAGAAAACATAATTACTATTCTAATGTTATGCATAAAAGTTAAAATCATTTCATAATTTCAACCAAATTTCACATGCACTGATACGAAAGATAGGTTGAATCCAAATCGAAAACTATTCATTTATGAGGCAATAGCAGGAAATCAGGTATGCTGAGCCTCCTGTTGAGACTTTTAAATCAATTAGGCTACTACCCACAGTAGATGATATTTGCACAAAATTTTATGCAGATTTTAAGGAATTATTCCACGATAAAAAATAACTGAGCTTAATGTTAATACAGGTTAGATTTGGAGAAGGAAAATGTCAGAGAAGGAAATTAAATTGTATAAAGGCAAAAGAGTTTTCTTTTCCGAGAGACAAGTCATTGGAGCATTGGCCTTAAAGTCATCCTGTGTCATATCCCCTGCCATAAACTGATTCCAGATGTTGGAATGGAGAGATAATCTAGCAGAAAGCGCTTGTGTCAGATCTGTGGAAAGTGGACAGCAAAATCAAGGAGAAGAGGGCAAGATAGGTGAGAAGAGAAAAGGAAGCTTCTTAGCCAACTGAGACAGGACTAGAGGGTAGTGTGGGACAGAGAGAAGCAGTTTTAAAGTCATGTGCAGTTCCGCTGATAGCCAGTAGGGTTCAGGCCAGTGAAGGTCAGGATTACTTGTCTATGCATTTCTCTGCAGATGCTGCCTTGTACAGTGCCTCTCCCAGCTCCTCCAGGCGCTCTCTTTTGTCCAAATCCTGGTGTAGGCCCGGGGGTACCTGGCTCAGGCCGTGCATTAGGCCATAGAAACAACCTGCGATCAGGCCTGTGGCTTCACTCTCACCTAAAACAACACAGTGTTTTCACAGAAGTCTACAGTGAGCATGGCATGTGTGAAGTTTGTCTTTTGAAACATCTTATCTTATCTTATTTGCAAAATGCAAAATGGTGCAAAATGGCACAGTTCTCACCTCCATGGAACATGGCTCGTTTACACAGTTCAGTCCAGTCACTCCCTGCAGCCAGAAGGGCGTCGTAGGCTATCATGGGGGCATCGTGACCTCTGCGGCCAGCACGGCCCTCTGAACTCCAGCGTTTATACATCTGTATGGACAAGGAAGCAAGACAGGAGAGAAGTGCACTGTTTGAATGAAAATATGACGGTGCGCTTACATTTGTTTTTTTTCGTTTGGTGAGTCAAGAATGCAGGACTTACCTTGTCTGTCTCTTCGGCATCATAGCGATCAGTGAGCAAAGGTTTGTCCTGTCCTTCCTTGTCTATCTCTCTCTCCTCAAGGTAAAACTGCCACTTGGCCTCAAAATAGAACCAGTTTTCCTGATACTCTGCACAGGAATACAAAATCACACACATTACTAGCATTAGCCGACAGTCATGCTCTCTCAGACACACGTGCATACATACCAAACTGAAAATTGCTATAGTGTATATACCGATATACACCTATTGATATTACTATTTGTGTTATGTGTTTTACATAGAAGCTTTAATTGACTTGGGTTAATCAACCAAGCAGCAAGATAATGTACCTCATGTAAATTAACAAAGACAGAAACATAGTCTAACCCGCCATGTGTCGTATGGTCTTCTTGCAGTACTCCTCAGCGCGAGGGATGACCTTCATGAGCTCGCGGCCCCAAGCCACAAGAGGTTTCCCCTGGATCGCAAAGGATGCAAACAGTGCTGTTGTCAGGGAGCCGAGGAAGCCTGAAGCAAAGTGAGTGACACCACAAGTCACTACGCCAATTCTGTCCACTGACATCTCAAACTCACCCAACAACTAAGTATTAAATCAATGATCTTGAAGTTAAAAGTTTATCAGCAAAACAATAATCAGCCTAGAGTTGCTAGATTTGTTAGAATAGGTTAGGGAGTCACCTGTGGGATGGTTGTGTGTCATTCTGCCGATCTCAATGCTGACTTCCACCAGGTTGTCTAGTCTCTCAGGCTGCCAGTATCTCATACCCACACACATGGCCTTGGCAGCTGCCCCAAACCCAGACCCTGGAAATAGATGCATGTGCACACATTTTCATATACTGCAGTTATGTTGGACTCACAAACTTTGTATATAAAAATATATAAAATCTCCAGTGACCTTTTTCATTGAAGGGTGTATGCCAGGCAAGCAGGAAGTTGTGAGGTTTGAGGTGAACACAGCCCTCCACTGTGACAGGATCAGGGGCTCTGCCCTGGAGAGACACCATGGCTTCAACATACAGACGCACCAGCTCCCGGTATAGGTCCTCCAGACACCAGTAATCTGGACACACATACACATACACACACACACACAGTGACTGAGAGTCATTCATGACTGGCATGCAAGGCGAGATGAGTGGTGCTGTGGAGGGCTAAGTTTAGACTCAGTCTGCCACACCATAGATTAGGGCCAGCATGCTTGTGGGGCGAGTGGAGTCACTTCTACACACCATGAGGTCAACTGGGATCCACGAGCAGCCCCCCAGCCATCCTGCTAGAATTTGTTTATATGCGTGTGTGTGTATGTGTGAGAGAGAGAGAGTTGACAAAGAGGCATCACCCAAGTTAGTGGTCTGGGACTTTGATGAAAGACAGGAACTTTCACCATCTAGACTGGACTGTGGTTCAGATTATGTTACACAGAGGGTGAGGCAGGACAGACCTAAAGTTGTCAATGAATGCGTGTAAAGAGGTAGTTGAGAAAATAGTGTCTTTGTGGTTTAATTTAAGTTTTTAATTTTTGCTTCAGGTGACTAATAATTGAACCATTAGAAAATGCCTGTTAACAGAGGAGTCAATTTGTTTTTGTTTCTGCTGTAACACTTGCTTTTTTTTAACATACTCTAGTTCTGTGTGCTGGTAAAGAAGATTGACAGAGCCATGTCAGTGTTCATTATGGTGTTTAAATTAACACCATTCATTCCACTCCATACGTTTTTGTCCGGCTGGTGTGTGTGTGTGTGTGTAGGCATGCATCAGTGTGGCTAAATAGGGCGTCCTAATCTCAAAAGATGTCATCGCCATTACTCGGGACCACTGTCATTGGCTTTGAGCCGCAACTGCACCCAAACATGATACCGGCAGATTATGGAGGAGTCTGACCTGCCTTTGTTCAGTAAAGGATAGCTCAGGTTTTCCAAAGTAGTCTATTTTAGACTCTTCTGTCCTGGCAACTCTTGGCCATTGTTGATGGCATGACACGGCTTGTGGGTGTGGGAATTCACATTAAGGTTTCTACTCAGATTTTATCTTTGATATCCGAGTTGCAAGGGTGGATTATGAGTATCTCAGTGGGTTTTGTCATTCAGGTTTTGTCTGCCAGGAAGTGATTAGCAGCTTTCATTGACTGTATAGAAGAAGCTATTCTGGTCCTTCCAAATGTAGAATGATTAAATACCTGTGTGTCTATATTTTAGGGACATATAAGGGCATGTTTATAAATTACTGAACAGATAAAGAGAGAAAGAGGTTTTCGTTTTATGTGTAGTTGTATATGTAGAAATAAGATATGTGAAATTTTGACACAACATTTTAAAACAGAAGAAAAAAGCAACTTAGTTTGTGCTTTTACTTTCTAAATCTTTTTCATAAATCCTCTTTGACATTCTTCACGAGATCAATCCTAAACGTACCTGTGATAAGTGCTTCTGCTGTGGTCATGTGCATCAGTGTTGCATCACTCAGGGGCCAGTTATCAGGGTCCAGTTTTAGGGCTCCCAGTCCCCCCAGAGAGGCTAGTTCCTCCTGGATCTTCTTGCCTGAGGTGAAGCCTTCCCAGCGGCCCTTTCTGTAACCCAAGGCATCACCAGCAGCACCCAGAACCATGGCTGCCTTGAATTTCTCCATGACACTGGGCTCTGCTCACGTGTTCTCACCCAGCTAATCACGAAATCACGATCTTCTCTTGAATGAAGTCGTCGCACTTCTCTTGGGCTTTAGATGGCTCCTAGCACAAACAAATGCCAATCGAACTCCTTTCAGCTGAAAGTCTTCTTCACCAACTGAACAGACTCATGGTCATAGAACAGTGAAAACAGTACAAACTGTCTTGCCCCAAAACATCCTGAGGAAGTTCAAACAGCCTCTCCAGCTCTCACAAGTAAGATATCCACTCGATGTGGAACCACAGAAATCTGTCTCTTCTACATAATAGCTCGACCACCTTCCCACCCTCGGGGCTCTCTTCTAGTTCCTCACCTCGCACTCAATATCAAGGGTGGACACGCATACTAACACACACACACACAAAAGCATCACGTTATCAGCCACAGCTTCTTTGTGTTGGGCGGCGGTGAGTTCAGCTGTGATCAGGTGTCTCCTAAAAAGGCAATCCCTATGTCCCCAACGCTTTAAAGCTGGGTGGCTGGATGTGAAGGGCTAATAGGGGGCTGGGCGCACTAGAAGAGATGCTAATGTGCTGTTGGGCTGGAGTGCAAGCTTGTCAGCTGGTGCTGGACCTTGTTGACATCCCAGCCCACCCCATGGGACGAGGGTAAGAATGGAGCATCATCCCAACTGATGCGCCCCCACCCACTCCATGAGCCCCTCTAATCCTTACGTCACTATTTTAAACTTTTTTATGAATCATCCCCTGCCTTGCCATCAACTAAGCTACTTCCCAGTTATGTGCATTGTATCCAAGAGTTCATCTCCCTTTCACTTTCTTTAATCCTCATCTTCACCCAGTGCCATGAATTTACCCCTTTTTGAGTCCCCGAGTCATCAAATGACACAGATCTGTTATTCCCGACCCTTTAAACACCTTTCTTGTCCATTTCGCTGTTGGTGACTGTAGAACTAAACATACTCAGAGTAACTGTGGACAAGTCATCACCAGAAGAGTCAATAATGATGATGATATGCAACAGGAATGCAACCTGATAAGGGACAACTGTTACCAAGCTGACACTTTACCTACACTTTCAAACACACACAGTGGCTCTCAGCAGGAATATTGAGATTTTTTTTTGTTCCAGTCACTGCCAACATTAGTTAATGTGCATATCTCAGAAATCAGCCTGTGTTTTGCCTGGATAAAAACCTGCTGACTCCTCGGCCTTCATTGAGCATGAACAACTTCTGCATAGAGAATGGTATAGTAACACAAACTCAAATATTATCATTTTGAACTTTTAGTGGTATCAGAACAGTTTTACAAAATACTGATATCCAAACCAAAGTCATTATTCAAAAGTAAATAAAAACTAACAAAAAGAGTTGCTGAAGTCCTTGTTTTTAGATGATTTAAGAGTTTCGTTTGATGAAACACATCACACACAGGTTCCCGCACTCAAGATCAAGCTGTATATTTCACCTCCAATCTTGCAAACATTTGCCATGTTGTGATTCATACTGAGTTCATAAAATGATTGATGTCAGGATACTGATTTCAGCACAACACAACACATTTGCATTCAATATCTTAAACCATCTGGCAGGTCAATTCATTACTGACAAAACAACATATTGTCAACTGCTGTACTTGACTACAAGACTGTTAAAAACAACATGCTTTATTAACAACTTTTTTTTTTTTTTTTTTTTAAAGAAAACAATGTCATGGTACACTTCTGTGACAAAACATAAAATTCTGTAAATACCTGTTTTCTTGCCGGGAGAAATAATACTGTTTTGATAAGAATGATCTGCATGGCTAGAAACAGTTGACCACACACTTGACAAATAAAAAATGTCTCAAATGTACCATATTAGCGTACTAAATACTGACAGATGTCACATTTTCTTGCTTGTGAACCACAGACGACGTCAGATCGTACAGTCAAACAACAATCGACTGGGAAAAGCTTTCACACTATCTCGCTTTCTTCACCATAGATGGGTTTGCACACAACTTTAACAGTACTGACAGTTCGTATATATCATTGAACCAACACATATCTACCTTGTTTAGCTACAAAGATGAACAACATGACACATTTACCAGCTCCTGCACTGTTTTACAGTCATCATGAAGCTGATTTCTTTGCCACTCATCTGCATTCATTCTGGGACAGAAATCGTGATCAACTTCCATCCTGATTTGCCTCAAGTCCACTTTCATGAACACCACCATAGTATATTACTAACTTATGTTTACATAAATATAAGAAGAAAGTTTGTCAACTTAATAATACCTAATAAAAGATCATTATTTCCCCTGTAGTTAGCCATTGAGAGGGAAATAATCCATCCTTATTTCACATGGCAAAGGTTTTATCATGGTGACAACAAGAATTGGCAGAACAAGATCAGCGTAGCTCGTCACTCTTTAGAACAGAAAGCATGGCTAACACTGATGTAAGTATAAGAGGCCGCCTGTTGCCAGCCGACAGGTACCTGAGCTCTACCTTCTGTCACACTCTTTAGCCAAGAATGGGGATGCATTTAGCACAAACAGAGTTGCTTAGTGTTTATAGTTACACTTACAGAGCAACATTAAATCTTATATGGTGGGAAAGCATTGCTGCGCTGACCTGTATGGGTTAAAAGGCTCAAGTCTTTTGATCATGTCTATCCTTGCAGCTGGATTGGGTCAGGTCTTCTCATATATTTGTGACCACATCTATCTAGCACTGGACTATAGTACATTGAGAAATACTATACTGCACAGTCACCCATAGATGGCAGCACAATCTTAAGTAGTTCTGTGGTACTTTAACATGCCACCATTGCCCTACAGTTGCTAATACATGAAAAGCAACAGACTAACAACTTAAGCAGTGTAAACAAACAGTTAAAATACTCTTAGCTGGGATGTAGATGTTCATTTGAAAAGGTCTAGTGTGTAAGTGAAATCTACTGTCACGTAAACTCAGTAGCTCTGTAGCTGTATACAGTGCTGCCTGATACAAAAAATAAAATAAAATCCTAAAACAACAGCAAAAGTGTAATTCAGTGCAGTTTGCAGAGTTGGCAAGTAATAATCACCTGGATAATAAAAAAAAAAAAAAAACAGTCAATGTGCCAGTCAGTTTCTCTTTGTGTACAGCAGTTGACACACTGCAAAGCTAAAGAAACTAAAACTAACAAATGTAACGCAACAGCATTTTAAAAATGAGGCTCCTACTGTAAATGCTTATGTTCAAATCAATGATTATAAATGTCATCACCTGTTTTCTCAGATATACATTTTTGTTCTTCTAAAATTGAATCTATTGTTATTTCTATGAGTACAGTATTTTACAACTGTAACGGTAGCGATTTTGCTGGTGCTGAGCTCAAAAAGCATGCTGCTCTGTCCAACTCTGTCTGAATACAAAGTGTGGATCCGAACCTTTTCACTGTCGCTTCACTTCTTATATTAATAAAATAAAACCAAATGAAAATATTTAGCATTGTATTGTAAAAGAGGCAATATGTTTAACCCCCCCACCCCCACCCCCACCAAAACACACGCACACTCACTCTCATACAAACATACAATAACAAGCAAGCACGCATTTTCTCCACTCTCAATGATTGTTAGAGAGCTACACATTCGCAATCTAGGTGAAAATAATGTAGATTACTTTTTTTTCCTCCTCAGAATCCATGGCACTGCTTCACACCCAGCTGACAAAAAACATGCAGATTTCAACCCACGGTTCCATTCACAATTGACAAAGAGGCCACATCCTACTGCATCTATAACTTAATCCTCTGCATGTGCTGAAAGCTCACTCTTACTGTCACTCCTCATTGTGCCAAGAGTGCAGGTTAGTGAGCCAAGTCCACAGCAGCAGTTCAAAGCCACACCCATTGGTGATTTGCCCATGAGTTTTAGGGTACCCATTATTTTTCATATTGCAATTACAAAGTCTGTCTTTGCCAGCAAAAAAAAAAACAACAAAAATCATCATCATCTCTCTCCTGTTGATTTCCCTCCTGCTTTCCTCTTTGAGCTGGTTTTCCAGGTCACTGCCCAACCAAGGCATCTTATGCAGTTGGAAGAAGAATCTTAACAACAAGCTGCAGACAGGCTTATTGAGAAGTAGTCTCTTTTTGGCTCATTTGTATAAAAATTCTCATTCAAAAAAAAAAAAAAAAAAGAAAGAAAATTGGAAGAGAAACAAACTCCATCCGCTGCATGAAGCTGGGACAAACACTATGTCATGTTGCGTTTACTCCCCGTCACAATCGGCCGGGCAAACTCCACAAAGTCATCTATGAGGACAGGCCATGCCCCTGAGGAGAGGAAAAAACAGGATATTAGTTATATCTAGATGTGATCTAATACGGTGACTTAATTCATCAAAGCAGTGTCCACATCCCAAATCATTCACAGACGACCCCTGCTGCCCTGAGGTCGATTCTATTCTACTGTGGTTCTTCATCGGAATATAGCATACGAAAACAACAAAAAAGAACGAAGGTGTGCTTTCAGCAATACTGTTTTTGTACAAGGGTGTTGGTTTGGTTTCTGAAGAGATCACAACAAGCGAACAAAAAGTATGTACAAGTAGGTATAAATGTTATTTTCTTCATTTATATAAACTGATCTCATCTAGCAAATAAATTATGATTAAACTGGTTTTAATGCTTTCCAAGATTAAAAATAATGTCATAGTACAAAAAAAGCCACATAAATAATCACCAATAATTTACCTGGTAGAGGCCTTATACTTTTTTATATTGAGATGATGAATACAAAAACTTTACAAAAAAAAATCAAACTACCATTTCATGTGTCAATGATGAACCTTTTAAGTCAGTAAACTACGTTTTATTTCTTTCTTTACAACAACTTAGAACACTGTCTTCTACTGCATTACCTTTGACTGATGATCAGTTCCAGGATCTTTTTAGTTGAATTATCTGCAAATTAAAAACAGCTAGCATCTGCAGCACCAACAACCTCCACCATGAAGGTATGGGAAGCTTGTGTGTTGCAATGTCCCAAACATCTCCAGTGAAAATTATGTACTTGTTTATGTGAACACAGACATAAGTTACTGTTCCACCATGACAGTTTAAGTAAAGCATTTCACTGCAGATCATTTACTTTGATTACATTTACTTACTCTACAATGTCCACAATAATATGTGACACAACCAAATCCAAATGAGAGAACAAGCGAAGCTGATATCAGTTTAACATATTAGAGATCACCTTCATGTCAGGTCACTTTGATTGAGTGAATCAGTGTCAGGTATTAACATAACGTTTGCTATTGTCTGACATAATCAGGATTATCTGAATTATCAGATTGCATTTTAATGTGACCACTGATGCGCTTTCATCATAGACTGTCTTCATCCTGAGGTCTTTCATAAGCTCACCTTCCTCGTCATAGTTGGACATGTCGTCTGCAATCATGTTGCCAAAGTCCAAGAGGAGGTTCCATGTGTCCTTGGGAATTGACCGCTTGTGATGCTCCTGAATGCGACACAGTGACAGGAAAAGTATGGCATTATAATACATACTACCTTTATGAAAGTTATTATGGTTCTTGTTGACACTGTCAGAGAGGTGTTGCTTGAACTCTGTGGTAATTTTTGGGGATGAGGTTTATGTAAATTGATTGTGGACAAGGATGAGGTGGACGAAAGATACTTAAAATGTCACGGAGATAACGAGAAAACAAAACCTCATTGCAGATCTAACAAATATTCCCACACTTACCAGCAGGAACCTGTTCCAGAGATCCAAGAACTTGAAGCGCCCTGTGAGAACTAGATTCCAGTAAGCCACAGCCATCTCTAGGTCTAAGGGTATAAAGTAAAGAAACTTTAAGATGGGATATTTTATATGTTTGATTAAAATACAAGTTAACCATTGAAAACGGCAGATTTTTTTTTTGCTGAACATCTGTAAAAACCAGAAGTCCGTCCCACATGCTCAGTTCTTCGGCTTACCTAAACCTTTCTGGCCAGGGTTCTTGGCAAAATTGAAGGTAAACTGGTAGAAGTCTTTGAACTTCCCTGTGTCTTTCAGCTCCTGCTCTAGTCTGGGAAGGATTGCCTTGAGTTTTTCAGGACTGTCACAGCTGGAGGAGACATTGAGGACAAACAGACAACACATCAGACTGCCATAATCCTGTTATTGTGAGTAGTAGTGAACTGCTCTTAGAAAATGACCCTGAGAATCTGAGGTTTCTAACCAAGTACATTTGTATGTCACACATTTCACATTTTGTAGGATTCATTTAACAGAAAATGCAATTTGAGATTCAATATATTTTCCTAATAGAAACAAGCAAATAGTTATACACAAAACATTTACAGCTTCTTACTATTTTGTGTACACACCTTAATAAATGTCAATAATGTCTGTTTTTTAACTACTGTTGCTCACCCTAGTTCAGACATGCCATCCAGGAACTCCTTTCTGCTGAACTCGCACTGTGTGGCCGCCCTGAACTTCCACGCCACCACAAGTATGCTCATGCTAGCTGGGTCCAGGGTCAGGTCATCACAGAATTGCTGGATCCCATCAATGCCTATCTTATTCTCATCCTGGGGGTCTGCAAAGAAGAGTGAGCAAAACAATGGACAAGTGTAACAGACACGACAAAGTAGACTGTGCTGATGTTAACATTAGTTTTGAAACACTTACCTTTGTATCTGTTGTAGAGCTGCTCCAGCTTCTTGCGATCCACTGAGGTTTTCATGGATTCTTTGTAGTAGAGGTCTGGGTTTTGGAAGTAGTTGTCTGTTGCGACTTCTAGTTTCCAGTCATTCTGCGTCAGGCAGTACACGGCTGTCCTCTCCCCGGCCTGCGTGAAGGACATGAACTGCCGAACCTTGTCCTTCTGCGATGACTTCAACTTGTGCTGTGGAGCAAGAACACACACACAGGTAAATACAGGGCTGGAGTAACCTGTTAGGGCAAAAACAAGCTGTGGGCCCCTATTAAGCCTCCACACAAATACACACACAGACACAGGCCCACACAAGATTTCTACACTGTATTACCTGCACTGGGTTTGCATCATGTAAGCACAGTATAAACTGCCATATTAAAAGTATGAAAGATGGATTTTGACACAGCCCCCCTTTAAAACACATGGCCTCAAGAAAATGTAAAACTGCTGAATCCTTCTTTGTTTTTTTTTTTTACTTTTTATTGTTCTTTAGTGGTACATGTTATGAAACAAATTGGCAAATAATCATCTCACCATAAATTAAATTGCTCATTACAGACAACTATGGGGCAAGACCCCATCAGGTTCTGGGGCCCTAGGACAAGTGATCCAGCCTTGGGTAAATGGGAACCAGAGACATGCATGTGGAGCTGAGGCTGCACATCAACATTGACACAAACTTTTTGAACATTTGAATAAGAGTGCAAGGCTTCAGTTTCCATTGCAGTCTCCTGGTTGCAAACTAGCTCCTCTAATTAATCTGTATACAAAAATGCATGTGGATTATGCCTAAATAACACGTGCCATGACGGTGAATTAAAAAAGTAAGACTCATACCTTGCGTGCAACAGCATATACATTAGTACAAGTGAATAAAGAGAAACGAAAACACTGTCACTGCCACAAGGTTCCGTTAGTTCACAAAAATACCGCGACGTGTTAATTTAATCTGACGGTCATCGAGAAGATAGCACGTCTTTGCAGAGCTGCGAACCTGACCCACCCGATGATCAAACAGCAATAACGGTGACAGGCCAGTGTTTGGCGACCCAGTTTTCCTGAGAAGGGAGGGGGGGGCGTTTGATCCTGCAGGCTCTCTCCTGACCCGGGGCAACAGCATAGGCGAGCTACCAAAAAGGGAAAGGTACGTGCTGCAAGTGTCCGGGTCTCTCAAAATACCAACAACTGACCTTCCATCTCCCTCACAGTCCCGACACACATCACCCTGACAATGCGACACTTGGCTGAGGACACTCCGATCCCCGATGTCGGTGTGTCGCCATAACGTTAAATGACAGCCGTTACCGGTTTTCAGACTTGTTTAACGGGGCTAAAGAACTGTCCCGGTTTCTCATTTTTAATCTTACCTACCATTTTATCACCCGCTGTTTTGCCCAACTTGATATCCAATTTCCCGTGGTGCGCACGCGCGAAAAGAATGCGCTACTGTAAGGGCGCTGTGTTCATGGGAATTGTAGTTCTGTGGCTCTGCACTCTCACAGGCCCTAAGTCAAGGATATACTTAGCGTAATAGCTATCTGCATTAGGAGACAACCGTTTCGGCAAAAATACGTACTTTATTATCATTAACATACCTCCACTGAGACACACCTACGTTAAAAAAGGTCTAGTATAACTTACTTCGCATCAACACACCATAACTAAAGGTTTACTGCAAGAAAACTCAGTGTTGAACAAGTTTAAATTGCATTGTTGTCATTTAAAACAATCTTTATAGTGTTAAACAACTTCTTTGATGTGTAAAAGTAAAATTAACCTGAGAACAGCTGTCAAAATTTAAATGCACTTGGCACAGTCGAGCGGAAAAACAGAACATCTGAAAACTACAACTCCCATATCAAATCTGATAAACATGTTTAGGAAGTAATCTGAAGATGGATCTAAATTACATCGACGCGATTATGGTCCGAAAAAACAAAGCAACAGTTGTTCAGTTTTAGCTGCGGTTTGTGTTAATGTTTCATTATGACAAGTCTCCACGAGAAACTGTGAACGTAAACGGAGTGTTTCTTTGCTAACGTTAGCGAAGTTGTGTTAGCTGTATCGTTGTGTTATTTTAGCACTGTGTGTTTGTGTGTATGTGTGTGTGTGTGACAGCTCGGAGGAATTTGAGGACTAACTTTGCTTTACTTTAAGCTCCAGGCAAGAAAGCAGATTGAACTTTATACACACATATACACACACTGAAACTGAACTCCAAAAGGAAATTTCATCGACACCAGTCGTGCTTACCTGGGCGTAGTAACGTTAGCCTCCCCTCTGCTAGCACGGATAATGTTAACGACGGCCGGAGGTCGGAGTAAACACGAAGTTAGTCGCCAAGTGAACCGGTAAACGCCTGCATCGACTTCAGCTATGTGGCAGGGGAGGAGGGGTGTCGGTGGTGGTGGTGGTGCTGCTGCGGCACAACAACATGATTGTTCCCGTCTTCTTCTGCCTCTTCTTCAGTCGTGGAGTGGAGTAAAGAGCCAGGACAGTTCACATATTTCGCAGGTAGTCCCAGCCTTTTTCCTCTATTTATTATCTTTTATCTGTTTGCATTGATATGATCAGTGAAAAGAATTGAGCAATATGACTTTGGGATACTGAACAAGTGAATTATTTCCGGGTTTGTCTGGGGTGTGTGTTCAGCTTTGGGTGATGTTACTCTTGGCTGTCATGATTTCTTTGATTTTTATTGTAGGTTTTTTCCTGTTTACGCTGCATTTACATGTTGCGTTTTGTGCTTATGACCATGCAACCTTTAGGCTTTAGGTGATCAAACATGACAACCAGTCAAAACCTTAGAGCAGAGCAGTGCTGGAGAGTAAATTTAAAGTACTGTACTTAATAACAGTTTGTACTTTATCTGATTATTGTCATTAATGGCACTTTGTACTTCTACACCACTACATTTCAGAGAGAAATGCTTTTTTACAAGTGCTACAACCAACACTTAATTCAGAAGGTAGAAACAGCAAGTGTTTGACATTTCTGCATGAAAAAAATTACTAAAATGCTTATTTCATTATCAAAATAGTTGTATAGTATTTTTCTAATAGTAATAGTAGTTTTCTCTTGATCGACTTATTGATTAATCAACCAATTATTGCAGCTCTAATTTTCTTTGATTAATCAAGTCCATAAAACATTAGTAAACAGTGATAAAGGCCCATTACAATATCAATGAGCCCAATCTTACGTCATTAAATGTCTTGTTTTGTCAGTAGGCGAAAAACGGATTGAACAGTTAATCAATTATCCAAATTGTTTCTGTTAATTTTCTATGATCAATTAATTGATTAATGATTGCAGTCCTACGGCCACAGAGCGGCCTGTTAAAGGTGACAAGAAATAAAAGAAAATTTAAGGAGAGTTGTTTAAATTAAACATAGAGTTTTTGTTATTCAGTTTAATTGTGCCTGCCTTCTAATCTAAAAGGTTGAAATATGTTTAATACCTTTTTAAAATTGAAGGAACTGAGGTCATTTCTGTGTATGCTTGTTCTTTTCAGCAGCCAAGCACCGAACAGTGGTGCTATTGATTTCTAGCAACAGTAGCGGAGTGGCTGCAGTCCAGTTGTAGGAAGGAGGACAGAGGAGGAGTTTGCAAAGTTAACGTCGCTCGGTTTGCCTCATGCTCACAAAGGTGCGGACCAGCTTGGCTGTAAGTTGAATGCATTCAGTCGTTTTGCTTCCTGCAGTAAAATTAATGTGTAAAGCAAGCACATGATGCACACTGTTGACAGTGCAGCAGTTTCTTTAATTGAAACTGTTCTGAGACTTAGTGTAGATAGAAATGCTGTGTTACATTAGGTGTAGGCAGAATAGTAAGCACTACAGGAATCTATACATGTGACATGCTCAGTCAAACCACGTGCATATAACACAGCTCTACAAGTGCTTTTAGCCACTCACAGCAGCCAGAAGGACAGACCACAGGTGTGTAAACACAGCTGTTGTTTAAGCTGTTCAACTGTAACCACACCCTGCCTTAAGATTAAACCCTCTCTTGAGATGGCACACAAAAAGAAAAATCACATCATCCCATGCCTATTCATTCATACTCAAGAACTAAATTTTACAAATATATGAATATGTTTTTTAAAAGCTAAATACTTTTCCAAAACAGCTGGGAGCTGTAGTTTTCACAAACATGACTCAAAGAGGAGTAAACAGGGTATTTGTTGGTGACTATTTTTACCTTGTATCAACTCACACAGTGCAAGAGTGTAGCTCACTGATGTGTTTTTGATTGTTTTTGGACAACAGCAACAACAGCTTCTCTTTTGCTCTTGTTCTTTCTTTTCCCATTCCCAGGTTTTTTTCTCCAAACGCTGGTGAAGACAGAAGTAGAGGTTTGGATGCAGGTTGTATGTTGGCTGCTGTGCCTTGGCCTGGCTGGGGCACTTGCTGCGCTGCAGAAGGACCAGGTGGCCCAGCATGCCATCAAACTTTATCGGAGCAAGGGGGCCACACAGGGGCACAGCTGGGTGGCCAGCAACTGCAAGCGGCTGGTGGGTCTCTTGCGTCAGAAGAATGTGGTTGTCAAGAAGCTGGCCGCTGCCGCAGATGCTGTTGGAAGAGACCGGGCCCTTTCAGAACCTGAAAGGCACTTCCAGGTACCAGACTGAGAATAAACACCAGATGGAGCGATGGCCCTTTGTTTGGGGCAGAACTTAGTGTTGTGTTAGTGACTGTAAAATTTTTTATATCCCATCAGCCTGGTACTGGACATAGTTTGTGACACAAGTTCTGCAGCTCTTCAGGGTGGTGTCTCTGACTGTGTGCTGACACATTTTCTGTCCGCACAAAAACTCAACTACAATAAAAGTTCATATTTCATACTTATGGTTCAGTTTTCGCATATACAGAGGAGATGACCTGGTTAGATTAGAGCTACACTAATGATTATTTTCATCATGCAAAATGTCAGAAAATAGTGTAAAATGCCTGTCACAGTTTCCCAGAGCCTCTCTTTTGATGTTTTCCGGTTGTTTGTTGTGTATGACCAGCAGCTCAAAAACAAAAGATTTTAAATTTCTAAATACAATACAGAAAAAAAGCAGCAAATTCTCACAAATGAGAAGCTGGAACAAGATAGTATTTGGCACTTTTGCTTGATTAGTGACTTAAATGATAAATTAATGTTCAAAATTGTTGCTGATTCATTTTCTTTCAGTTGAGTAATCAATTAATTGACTAATTGTTTCACCTAGATTATGTAATGGCCAGACACTAGGCAGGTTAAATCATTTCATATCAATATAAAAAAAACCAATAAAAAATCAATATAAAACCTTTCAAGCAAGATCGAATGGAATATTTATCTCAGAGTCATGATTTTTCTTCCTGTTTTAACTTGTGTTATCTGGATCAATATTGTCCTATTTATTATTTATAGACATGTTAAGTGCTCTCATCAAGTATTTCTAAGTAAAGAGCATGTACGGGGGTTTCAGTTAGATACTTTACAGCTTGATGACTGACAGGTGTCTCTATCTGCATTCAGGTTCACACCCTGGAGGTTTTCCAGAAGGAGCTGAATGAGAGTGAACACCTGGTGTTCCAGGCGGTGCACAGCCTGCAGAGGGCGCTGCAGGGAGACTACAGGGACGTGGTCAACATGAAGGAGAGCAGCAGACAGAGACTGGAGGCCCTCAGGGAGGCAGCCATAAAGGTGAAGGCATTGTGGTCAGCAGTAGATACTACATCAGAGTGGGAGAGGGACTGATTCATGCTGTTGGTGTTTCTGATAGTTTCTGATGAGTAACATGCAGTTGAAAAAACTCAAAAGTATTAAAACAATATAAAACACATAGAGGCAGCAAATCTTTAGAAAATATTATTATTATTATTATTATTATTAATTATTATAAAATATTGTCATAATGTGATCTGGGACAGTATCAGACAGATATTATGATGCTGATTTCAAGTGTGTATGCCGTTACATACATCTCTGTTAACATGTATGTATACATACTTGCTAATGAAATCTTTTCTGTTGGGCATTGTTCTCACGCTTCAGGAGGAGCAAGAGTATGTGGAGCTGGTGGCTGCCGAGAAGCACCAGCAGGAAGCTGTGAAGAGCGCTTTAGCCCAGAACAAGACTCTGTCCATGCTGGATGAAATCCTGGAGGATGTCAGAAAGGCAGCAGACCGGTTAGAGGAGGAGATTGAGGAGCACGCCTTTGACAACAACAAACAGGTCAGCAAACAAAGACATTTGCATAATCTTTAAATAAGATTATTTTACATTTGGAAATTTAATAGTGCAGATGCTTGAACCAGCACAAAAGTTTGAGTAATTTAGAATTGGTCCCCTGCATGTATTTTTAGAAGCTCACCCTTAATGCATCACACATCAAAAGCAATGTATTTCCAAGTCCAACTGGATAAAATTTCAAGATTGCAGGAATACATATTAGATCAAAAAAGCATCAAGTTGCCTCCTTCCGTACTCTGGTTTGTTGTGTAGATGAAAGGAGTGAATGTAGAGGCAGTGTTGAGAGTGGAGGAAGATGAGGACAACGGAGGGAAGAGGAAGAACAAATCCAGGCAGAAGGAAGTGGAGGATGACCTGGGACTGAGCATGCTCATTGACTCGCAGAACAACCAGTATGTTCTGACTAAACCACGAGACTCCACCATGCCGAGAGCAGACCATCACTTCATCAAGGTCAGTTACTCCTATTTTATCCAGGCAAGATAAGAAGTGGAATCTCTGTATTCATTTGATTGAATACTTAATGATATGTGTATGTGCAGGACCTGGTGTCGGTGGTGATGTTGTCCCTACCTTGCGGCTGGATTTGCACTCTAGTCGGTCTTCCTCCAATGTTTGGATACATCATCTGTGGGGTCCTGCTTGGTCCCTCTGGTCTCAACAGCATCAAGGTGTGTGCAGTGTGTGTGCAGTGTCTGCATGTCAGATCAGACTTAAAAGACACCATTTTTAATTTATGTATGTGATAGTTGTTCATATCAATGTCTCTCTCTGTGTGTCGCAGTCTATGGTCCAGGTGGAGACTCTCGGGGAGTTGGGTGTGTTCTTCACTCTCTTCGTGGTGGGGTTGGAGTTCTCACCTGAGCGCCTTCGAAAGGTAAACGAGAGGGATTTGAATTTAGGATTAAAATTGTACAATAATTGTCCATTCCATCTTGCAAGTCAAATGAAATGTCCTCAGACTTGACTTAGACTAAAGATTAGTGACATAAAAACGGTAAGGAGCTGCAAAATCTGGAAGAGCTGTTCTCAAACTAGGAGATACAGTGATTTGTGTAGAAGCATTGAGTTACTGAGGCTTTTAGACTCTTAAAAAATCAGAGTCAGAT